GAGTGAAATAGTTGAATTCAGTTTTATAAACAAGGATGCGTAACCGACAGGTGAGTATATATTTAGAAGCAGGGAAAATTAAAATGGATTGAGCTTATCAGTGGGTGGGTGCTGACTGTGAGGCATCAAGTATAAATAGAGAACCAAGTAGAGAGCCCTTCCATTACCTGCAACGACAGGCACAGTGGTCAGTTGATGAATGGCTCCAAGCCTCAAGCTAAGGAACTACGATTGTTTCAGCTAATGTATGATCTATCATGTGGCAAACCCTTAGGCCTAAAACAAAAAATGTTGTGGTTCCGATTACCCAACCAACCCTTGAATTCTGGTGCCGACCCTATTTTTTTTAAGCGGTGTGAATAAAATAAGCTTTCAGATACCATTGTTTTTCCCCCCCTGGACCAATAGACATTGGTCATTCTGATAGAGAAAGTCAACATTATGGCCTGAAGCTTGATTGAATAAACAATTTACTTCTTAAAAAAAATGAATAAAACAAAATAAAACTCCTACTTACCCAAAATTTTAAAGACATGTAATCAGAACCACATTTTTTTTATTTGGCCTTATTGTAGCAAGAATTACAACCAAACTAGAAAGGTATTTCCATTACAATCAAAACAGAAGCAGCCATGTTCATACCATTTCCAGAATGCTCGATTATTTAGAGACTGACGCCATATAGCTGGAACATTGCTGAGTTCGGCGTAAAACTAAACTCACTCACTCACTCATTTTTTTTATATATAAGGGGAGTTAACTCTTTCTTCTCATCGTACATTACATCAGAAGTTTCAAGACCTGCCTCGTGTGTGACGATCATTAATACCCTGGATACACTTAATAAAGTACTCATGGAAATAGAAATAAAATGGTTCTGGGTGTTTATTTCGTAGTTTGGAACACAACTAAGGAATGATTGTTAAATATCCTATGACTGTGTTTTCCCAACTTTTGTTTTAACCACTTTTTGTAAAATCATCCGAAATAGACAAGTTTACAGGAGAGCAATTTGTGTCATTTTGACCCCTTGAAACTTCATCAAAGTCAAAATGTACGTTTCTGATTCAAGCTATAGTATGCAAAGGAGATGTAATCTCCATAATACACTCCATGATAAACATCATATACTATTCATAATTTTTCCTAATTCATATACAATTTAATTGATTTAAGGATTTTCTGATTACATTTTTCATGCCTGTACACTTGTTGAAAGTTTACTTTTTTTACGACTACATTCATATCTTTAATTGTCATTTGCACAATCGCTATGGCAACACACGTGCAAATACATCTTCCTGTCTAAACAGTGCTGCAGGTAGTTCTCACCACCCATTGTTGATTGTGACGGAAGTTATAACATGTTTCTACATTTGTTAATATGCAAATTTTTGTTATTTTTCCCATTAAAATGGTACTATGTATAATGTTTAGAGGACCAAATTAATAGGCCTAGTTGGGAAAAACATAGTTATTTCAATATTTCAATTTGTTAAACTACCTATTTTAATGAAGTAATAAACGAATAAACCTCAAAAACAATTTTATTTCTATTTCCGTGAGTACTATAGTTTCAAGTTTCATTTCTGTTGCTGAGAGGTGAATATTAATTACCATTATTGTCTTATTGCTTACATCACTGCTCATGTATTATATTACCTTTGAATTTTTACTGTCATAGTGATACTTCATAGTGATCTGTACTGATTTGTGAACTTTTAGAATACAAGTGTTAATTACACATTTCTTTGATGTTTGTTGGTTTTAACTCGTAACACACCCAAGTGATGTTGGTATGATATTCCTTTTGAATATTAAAGTTGTAGATACTATTTTCTAACGTTTTAAGATATATCAAATAAATGTATTGCACTGGACACCCTCATGAATAGGTGACTTTTTTACGGGTACAAATTTTCATGAATACATTAAGTTACTTTCTTGCTATTAGGAAATGTTCAGATGAAAAACTAATGAAATACATATAATTTCAAGCCTCCTGTGATCTGCTGCTCAATATAGACATACCACATTTATGAGCCACCCACCTAAGGTCTTAGTTACATCCTCTTGTTTTCAGTATCAAGTTGCAGGACTATATACCCTCATTTCATATCCAAACACTAAACATCAATAAAATGTAAAAAAAACAATTCATAATAAATTTCAAATACCAAATCATTATGAAGAGAAATATGTACCAATTTAAATGTGAAATAGTGTATTTCAATGAAATGATGTAAATTTTTCAGATATCATGTGCATTTGTTTACATAATAGCATTCATGGATCCAACTGAATGTATTTCTACGATCTTGCGGGCTTAGTTTGGAGATTGTTCGTGTGCTTCTGACATTTTTGGCAAATATAGATCTAATTTTAAATAGCTAAGAGTTTTAAAACAATATATTTATACAGTACTATTGCATCTATAAGTAACTAGTGACAATAAAGAAGTTGACATCCATAAATCTTGCTTTTCTCATGCATTCCACTTCTAAATGCCCTTCAAAGAGATAAGAAGGTCAAGTTGTCATCCATAAACTTGATAAAGTTGTGTTTCATTTTTTACTCAGAAATATGCCACAGAAATATAAATAGTACACATGTTTATCATTTACTAATACCCAACAGCTTTCTTATATTTGAAAATTTTCCGCACTCCACCAAAAAAGTTCTTTAAGAAACTATCATCATTGAAAACGCAAAAGTTGTTATCTGTCGCAGCGGGGTGAAACCGCAGAAACGGAACAGCCAGTCATGGTGGGGGACATCTCAAAATCTATTCCAGGAGACCTGTTGGTTCCTCGTCTGTCGTAGTGTCATAGTCACGACTTAAAGGGATGACAAGTGGTGCCACAGTTGCCTGTTGTAAGCCATCCCGAGAGACCAGTAACCTTGTTCAATGATGTTAGCTACCTCGTTGACACAGTTTTGCCAAGTTTCAGTCATGATTTTGTTAAGGGGTTCCTTAACCGAAACCTCTACGTCACGTAATCTAAAAGTTGTGTTTGATCTGGCAACAGCTCCTTTGACAATACCCCATATCATTTCAATGGGGTTAAGGTCACAGTGATAGGGTGGATGTCGCAGAATATCGTGACCCTTACTTTTTATGTAACTGTCAACTTTGTAGAAAGGTTCACCTTTGTGGGTTTTTATGATCTCCTATAGCTGAGGCTTCGTTGTTGAAGGCCGTGCTATCTGAAATTAGTCGAGCCATGATATCATATAACCTTTTCGACTGTTCGATGTCGGGGCTTTACTGTCGGGGTCCTGCATGCTGTGGTATGGGGCATTGTCCATTACAATAAAAGACTTCTCTGGTAGAGCTGGTACCAACTTGTTTTTAACCCAATCGAGGAAAACCGCACCATTCATCTCGGAATGGTAGTCTCTGTTATCTGTGGACTTTGCCCTGAATACCAAGTTGCAGCCTGGGAGAAAGCCTTTGCTGGAGCAACCAGCATGGAGAATGATTAGTCTCTCTCCTTTCCCTAGAGGCAGCTTACTACATGACCCCTTATCACCCCCATCGGGTACCCACTGACTGCTGGCAGTGTGCGAGGCATTGACCCAGGTCTCTTCCAAGTACACTGGCTCGAACCCTTCCTCGCGCTTCTTCTTTATAACCCTGAGAAAATTATTTCTCAAGCAAACGATATCAGGGCGTTCACAGAGTACTGACCTATTCTCCCCCGAAATTTTCTTATAATGATACCTGAAAGAGTTGAAGAGTCGCCAGAGTGTGTACTTTGAGGTTGTGTTCTTGCTTCAAATGCTTTTTTAAAATTTTCAGCGACATGTATTTGTTTTCAGAATTGAGCTTGTTGATAGACTGCCTTACAAGGTTCTTTTGAAAGTTGTCCAAATGTTTTAATTTGTGTGACTTTGACACGACCCCTACCTGCTTAGCATCACCCTCACAATGTTTGTGTTCCAGAACATTTGTCAGTACCCTTGCTGATACTCCTAAAGCTTTTGCTGCCTGCTTACGGAATTTATTAATGGCATAAAATGGTTTGCCCCTTTCGGCTTCAGCACGGAAAAAATCGTACACTTTAATCATTAAGTGTTTCACGTCAGCATTCGACTTCATTTTTCATCAGGCATGTGTATCCCGTGCACGACGTGATAGTGGCTGTTCCGTTTCTGCGGTTTCAAACCCGCCGCGACAGATAACAACTTTTGCGTTTTCAATGATGATAGTTTCTTAAAGAACCTTTTTGGTGGAGTCCGGAAAATTTTCAAATATAAGAAAGCTGTTGGGTATTAGTAAATGATAAACATCTGTACTATTTATATTTATGTGTCAATTTTGTACAATGATAAAATTTGCAATTCATCGGTCCGTTTCTCACTCAAACGGACTGAAGTTAGACACCAATGATAGTTCTCTTTGAAAACATGTTCAATAAATTTAAATTTGCGATCGTTTTGCCTCAAACACATTATTAAGAAAATTTAAACCTACCAGACTGTATATAACTTTTCACTGGACTTAAAAACCGCACCTGCTTCTTTATTACTATTTACCGCCAAATTTTGAGTGAGAATAATCCACTTGTCACATGCGGGGTAGGTAGGTTTATTGTTAGCAATCTTATTCAATACCAGTAAGCGACGTTGCCATTTGATACAGTTTAATAACCACTCTCCTAAAATAGAATTGTGTGAATAATTATTTTTAAATCGTCATTCTCTGGTAAGCATGCAGAAAACAAATCAAGGATCATGAGGACAACCCTCTGAATACTAGTAGTTTAATCTCGGGTTATCAAAATGTTCAAATCGAATAAGTAACATCGGGCACCTGTTGGTATAATTTTACACATCATGATTAATACTTTTCAGGTATGAAATCATGTCACAATTTCCATAATTTAGGTATATGTTATGATTATAATTTGAGAATACCATCGGATGTTGTAGGCTCAACACATAAGCAAGAATTTAGAACTAGATCCGCTTTAAATACATCATTCCATATTTTAGTATTCAAAATGGCGACCTCCATTGCTTCAGAAACCGGTGCAAACCGAGTTAATGTTCGACAGTTTCTGGAGCAATGGGGCGACCAGATAAAATATTCAGTCACTGAAGGTAACAATGAACTTGAATCTATAGCAGCCATGATGAACGTTCCGACTGACACTGTCAAAGAAGTGTCTGAAGTATGTAGGTAAGTACGCTTTCTACACCATCCCCGTCTAAAACGGATTTGGTACCGTGTGATAGATCTGGTTTCTCTGAGATTGACATGTATCTGAGATGTATCGTGTCTCCGAAAGTTAGTGAATTTGTTTACACAATGTCATACCATATACACGAGAGATGGTAAAGTTAAATATGTGAATTCTAGGAAAAGTTCATACCCATAATGACCATTTGGACTCGTCAAAAGTGGCACACGTGAAACAGACAAATACTTGAAATAGAATGGATCAAAACGGTCAACACATGGCTAACACTAGCAATAGTAAATAATGTCATAGTACATGAGTACTATTATTACTTAAACCACCCATACACTTCTAAATGTTTGAGTGTTCGAATCTAACAGGCAAAAATGTTGTAATAGTATTGCCCATGATCACAGCTAGGGTTCTGTATATTGATGACACTAATACGTTCTAGGTCCATCACTTGATCATCACTATCAGTGAACGAGTGTTGAACCTAGGAGTTATCATTTTCAGTAATGCACGCCCCTGTGCCCATGATAACGTTTTCAATTGACAATGTTTACTTTTTTTATTACTATGGCAGACATGTTCAGTGCTTCAGCCAGGCAAGCCATTGCCATTCACACTAAAAAATGTGTATTGGCACTTTTTTTCAATGCTAGCGTGCCCATTGGCGCAACATTTAATATAATCCACAGGTCTTCTATACCATGGTTACCATGAATGGCAAAAGTCTCAACTGCATTGGCACATATTTTAGTGCTTAAGGTGCCAATTGGCAACACTCAAAAAAATCCTGGCTGAAGCACTGCATGTTTGGGCACTTTTTGAGTTTGTCCCCTGCCCTTATGTGGTGAATATTGGAGTAAGTGAGTTGGTTTTAACTTCGAACAGTATTCCAGTAATATCCCACATTTCAGCTTAATGTTGGAGGAGAGCCGTAATGATGCATGATACCTACCACTTTTGTGAAACCTATTAGCATATATGATGCAGACAAAGGTAGAAACATAATCAGTGTAATCTGGGGTTTGAACACATGATTTCTGGCCTGCCCAAGAAGAGAAACAACCAAATCAGCAGATTATTAAACATGGGTCAAGAGATGGAGTCAATCTTTGACTTGACAGATGGAATGATTTGAATGACTAATTACTGCAGGTCCCCCGAACATGTCACTGATACTGTATGGGTTTTATCCAGTTTGCCCACCAAACACATTCACTAGTAGATAAAATCCTAGATCAGTCTCACAATGTTGTATCTATGCATATGTTCTGATACGTGTGATTTGATTGCTTTTGCTTCCTTTGCATTTGTTAGAGCTGTAAAAGTACAGTGCATTAAAAACCACTTGTCTATCCTACAGCCCTGAAACCCTCATGTGTAAAGGTGACGCTGTTGACAGGAAAATCATTTACGAGAATGTTCCAAGTGATATTGATCTGATAACTGTAAGGTGAGTACTAACTGTACTGGAAGTGTTCTCATGGTTCATTATGTTACCATGCCCTCAGGAAAGTCAAGGGTTACTTGTCATTGTAAACTGTGTAAAAGTTACAATTTAGGGGGTCACTATTTTCTCCATTATTCTGATAATATTGGAGCCAACCTCAAGGACATACCTTAATTATGAATGCTGCATTTGTAAGAATTCGTAATCTTAGATGGTACAGAATTCAAGGTGACAAGAGTGATTGAATGAGTTTAGTTTTACGCTGCACTCAGCAATATTCCAGCTATATGGCGGTGGTCTGTAAATAATCGAGTCTGGACCAGACAATCAGCATGAGCATTGATCTGCGCAATTGGGAACCGATGACTGTGTCAACCAAGCCAGGGAGCCTGACCACCAGATCCCATAACTCACTTCTTACAGCAAGCATGGGTTACTGAAGGCTAATATTCTAACCCAGACCTTCATGGGTAGAAGGTGGCAAGAATTGATTCAAGGTAATATGTTAGTGAACATTAAGCAGTTATTTTTAAGTGTTTTCATTTTATTTAATTCAGATTGGAATTATAACCATTGTAACTATATTGAAGTAAACAAGGAAGCAATCACACATTTTTTTAGCCAGGTACATTGTTTCCAACTTTTGAGTCCTTCAGTGAGTACACTAGTAGGAAGTATAAGTGGGGGCAGGCAGAGGTGCCAACCCATATGATTTTATTGTATTCCTTACGAAAAAACAACACAAAATACGCAACTACGATAGCAGTAAAAATATACGAATTTAAAACAAAACCCAAAACATTAAATTAAATTATCAAATAGCATACATACCATACACAATAAATTGCAACAACATTTTTATTCAGTATCAAGCTATTTGTGGATACTTGCTACTGATTTAGGTGAATACAATGTTAATAACAAGTTCTCATAATATCTATGTATTTTTATTAAACATGAAATTTCTTTGGAAAAGTTAATACTAATTTTGCATCAGTTTTTGGCCAAAATACTAATTGGGCTAAATTAGGGTTGGCATCTCTGTGCAGGTAAACTTCTTAGACCTACAAAAAATGTTTACTGATTTTAATTGTACTGTGTATAGGTGTAGGCTCATATAAGCTAGTACAAGGTTACCACTTAATGACAGTCTATAGTCTAAGTATTAATTGATTTCATGTTTTGAAACCTTCGAATCAGAAACCTGTGGCACTGATACTGTCTGTTCACAGGAGTCAAGCAGCAGAGCTGGACAAGAGACTGAAGAACCCAACATATCACAATCATATCCTTCGGAAGATGAAGTACAACTATGTTGACTGGTATCGATATTTCAAGGTAGCTTACTCCTGCTGTCACCATAACACAATGTTGAATTCCGTTTCACCTGATTTTGAATTCCTGTAGGAAGCAGACATAACTGTGATGCAGATTTCCATGTACTCTGTCTCTGTGACCAGCAAAACTTCAGTTGTGCTTAAGGTCCTGTAATGTCACAAGCCTGACTGGCTACTTTGATGGTGAAATGTTATCCTGTTTCTGAGATCAACATGACCATAGAAACAAAAATCAAATAACTATTCATAATAAATCGAGGTTACCTGACAGGAACTATTTTACACACTGCTTATACAAGGTAAGAATAGGTACCAGGGGTGGAAATAACCCATTGCCCGACGCCCAAGTCCAGTGTTTTTTTCTGTCGGGCAAGCAAATTTGTATATCACACTGTACCGGTGTCCAGTTGACTTGCCAATATTAATTATGTTGTTTATTTAAAAAATCAACAAGAAAACGTCCGGTATAGTGGAAAAATTATCAGGGCAAGTGATTTTACATGTGCCACTGTACCGGAGTACACTAGCAATTTTAAAGTTATTTCCACCCCTGGGTACCTAGTAACGTATTCTGTTCATACGGGAGCAGGACAAAAGCCACCCGGACAAAAACCACCCGGACAAAAGCCACCCAGACAAATGCCACCCGGACAAGTGCCACCTAGGACAAATGCCACCTAGGACAAATACCACCTAGGACAAAAGCCACTTGAGATGTTTTGATAAGACGTAAGTAAGGAGGAATAATGAAAGCAAATGTCATTTTGTTCATTGGTGTGTAAATAAAAATAAATTAGCATGCAAATACATCTGGGAAACATGATATTGTGTTGGTGGTTTCTATTTTTTGGGGGGTGGCATTTGTCGTAGGTGGCATTTGTCCGGGTGGTTTTTGTTCGGGTGGCTTTTGTCCTAGGTGGCATTTGTCCGGGTGGTTTTTGTTCGGGTGGCTTTTGTCCTTGGTGGCATTTGTCCGGGTGGTTTTGTTTGGATTGGTGGCTTTTGTTGGTGGGTTTTGTCCTAGGTGGCATTTGTCCGGGTGGTTTTGTCCGGGTGGCTTTGTCCTAGGTGGCATTTGTCCGGGTGGCTTTTGTTCAGGTGACTTTTGTCCTAGGTGGCATTTGTCCGGGTGGTTTTTGTCCTAGGTGGCATTTGTCCTAGGTGTTTTTTGTCCGGGTGGCTTTTGTCCTAGGTGGTTTTTGTCCGGGTGGCTTTTGTCCTAGACCCATTCATACAGGGTGACTAAATGGATTATTAGTGAGGCTTGGTGACTTTGTTGACACAGGTCATCATACCTTGACAACAAGGAATATTGCTGGTAAACTCAATTGTTTGTTTCAACTTGATTATTTACAGGCTACTCTTCAAGTAACTGGAATACAGTTGAGTTCAGAGCAAACAGAGTATGGCAGAAAGAATGACTGTTTTTTCAGTACTTCACTGCCCAACAGTAGTTCACCTTGATATATCTAACCACAAAGAAAAGATGCTTCTACCCAACACACCTACAAGATGAAGTGAGACATACCAAGACTGATTGGGCTTGTGACATAGTTTCTCTTGATGTTTGTAGACATTTCTGTGTTTCTGTCAGACAGAGGAGACATTCAGCGATCCGCCACCAGGTGGCATTGACACCAAGGTCAGGGAACCTAACGTTGTGCTGACTGTCCAAGTCCACAGACCCTACCGTAATCAGCCAAGTTCTCGGGTGAGGAAGTGTAATTGTAAATTCATGAATACAGTGTTTAGTTGTTATTCTAATTCAACTTAGTATGTAACATGAGTTTTGATTGGTCAATGCTATAAATTTCCGACCATATAATCAGCATATACGGTCGCAATTTGAAAACCTATTCACCAAAACTTTGAATGTATCCCTACACTATTGGGGTAACGCTGTTTTTCAGGGCATTGCCATTTGCAGAAGCCCTAGGTCAATTTAACTCCGCTATTCCGCTAAAATGGATGGAATTTGTGTTAAAAAAGACAAAACAGTATCATCAATTTAATTGTAAGTTCAAACAACTTACTCGCAATGGGCTGTTGACCCAACACTGTTAGATCATGAAACAAGATTTATGACGTAATATATGTTATATTTGGGATTACACTTTCTTAGATTTATGACGTCATTGTGGAGCGTGATGTCACCTGCTGTGACGTCATTTGACAACAGAACAGATAGTGGCCCGTAGTTGAGGAATCACCAGGCCATTATGATTTGCAGCGGCCCGCTCATTTCTGATAACTATAGGGCGGTTTCATGATAATTCCGTCCATTTTTGCTATAAGACTATAATTTATTCATCATTGTCAGATTTACTCAGTGTGCACATAATAAACGTGTTGAAGTTTGAAAGGGAACTACTTTTTCTGGCGATGGTGTAAGTTCAAGGAGTGATATGATTTACCTATAGAAACAATTTGACCTGGTTTAAATAATGAATTTCTTTCACGAAAAAACAGCGTAAAACGAGTTGAATTAGAATGGGGCTAAGTTTAAAAAGTTGTCTTAAGACTAATTTGGAAAGCTCTACAGTTGTTGAACTTGATGTGAGGAGAACTATGATACCCATCCACCACTGAAAGTTGTTTTCTAGTATGTCCATCACTGGGAACTCTTGGTTTGTTTGTCAATGTCTAAATTAATTTGTTTTATGTATGTTTTTGTCCCATGCAATGAATCCAAATAAACTGTTATTATCATGCTACAACAAGTATAGAATTTACTGCATCTCTAAAACAAATGTTAGAATTTGGATAACACTTTCTAAGTAAGGAACAAATTCTAGTCGTTTTAGGGTGGTTGAATCCAATCCAGATTCAGACCTATACAGTAAGAGTGAGTGACCAAACCAGCAGTACATGAAGCTAGTGATCTAACCAACCCACTCAGATACCAAGGCTTACATGAGCCCCAGGTCACAAATCAGTTGAAGTTAAGTAATGCTGAAAATGGAGAGTCCTTGGATGGGTCTCTGTGTTTGGTAGCTTGACTCTTGAGAGTTTCCATGCTTGCCCTGCCCTACTTGTCACATGTGGTCTCACCTTAGGCAAGTGAATTCGTTTAAAATTGCCTCTGTTTCACCCAGCAGAAAATGGGTACCTGGTGGGATAAGTCAAGTGAACATTAACCTTCTAGTGCCTCAGAGGCAGCTTGGGTTATCGAGGGTAATAATGTCCATCATGTTGTATGCTCTTAGAGCATGCCTATGTGGCGTGGAGTTAAAGCCGCTATATAAGTGGCCCTGATATTATTACCTTGACTGATTTTAATTACCTGGTGTATGTGAACCATGTATGACATCGTTAGCACAAGTACTGGCCTTTGTTTTTAGCTGGTCATGTCAGAGACATACCTGCTCCTTGGCAACCACAAACTGAGTGAGCTGCGTGACGTCATCAAGTGTTCCAATGACTATGCCATCAGCGGAGATCACAGTGAACACCCAGACATTACACAGTTCACATTTGCAAAGGTAAAGCTCATGTGTTATGTACTGGTGTATCTCGGAAGGCTTGTTAGTTGTCCTGACAGTCCTACAATATTGCCTGTGAATAGGGTTGCAGTTATTCATATCTGTCCCCCAATATTGCCTGTGTATAGGGTTGTAGTTATTCATATCTGTCCCCCAATATTGCCTGTGTATAGGGTTGTAGTTATATCTGTCCCCCAATATTGCCTGTTGCCTGTATTGCCTATAGGGTTGTAGTTATTCATATCTGTCCCCCAATATTGCCTGTGTATAGGGTTGTAGTTATTCATATCTGTCCCCCAATATTGCCTATGTATAGGGTTGTAGTTATTCATATCTGTCCCCAATATGCCTGTGTATAGGGTTGTAGTTATTCATATCTGTCCCCCAATATTGCCTGTGTATGGGGTTGTAGTTATTCATATCTGTCCCCCAATATTGCCTGTGTATAGGGTTGTAGTTATTCATATCTGTCCCCCAATATTGCCTGTGTATAGGGTTGTAGTTATTCCCCCCCCTTGTGTATATAGGGTTGTAGTTATTCATATCTGTCCCCAATATATGTGCCTGGGTGTATGTCCCCAATTTGTGTGTATAGGGTTGTAATTATTCATATCTGTCCCTGTGTATAGGGTTGTATATTGCCTGTGTATAGGGTTGTAGTTATTCATATCTGTCCCCCAATATTGCCTGTGTATAGGGGTTGTAGTTATTCATATCTGTCCCCAATATTGCCCCCTGTGTATGTGTATATAGGGTTGTAGTTATTCATATCTGTCCCCCAATATTGCCTGTGTATAGGGTTGTAGTTATTCATATCTGTCCCCCAATATTGCCTGTGTATAGGGTTGTAGTTATTCATATCTGTCCCCCAATATTGCCTGTGTATAGGGTTGTAGTTTATATTCATATCTGTCCCCTGTCAATATTGCCTGTGTATAGGGTTGTAGTTATTCATATCTGTCCCCCAATATTGCCTGTGTATAGGGTTGTAGTTATTCATATCTGTCCCCCAATATTGCCTGTGTATAGGGTTGTAGTTATTCATATCTGTCCCCCAATATTGCCTGTGTATAGGGTTGTAGTTATTCATATCTGTCCCCCAATATTGCCTGTGTATAGGGTTGTAGTTATTCATATCTGTCCCCCAATATTGCCTGTGTATAGGGTTGTAGTTATTCATATCTGTCCCCCAATATTGCCTGTGTATAGGGTTGTAGTTATTCATATCTGTCCCCCAATATTGCCTGTGTATAGGGTTGTAGTTATTCATATCTGTCCCCCAATATTGCCTGGTATAGGGTTGTAGTTATTCATATCTGTCCTCGAAGGAGACCCATGTGTTCTTTTGAACTAACATCACAAGTTTTCACTTTCTTGTTTTAACTTTGAAATTATTATATATTTATGTTTTTATTACTTTTAAATGTCAAAACTTTTGAGTAATGTGTAGCATACTTGTTTTGTAGGATATTTACAAGTCAGGATTTTTCTTCATCGAAGGAACCTTCTACAATGATATGCGTCAGCTCGACAATCGAGACTACAGCAAGTGAGTATGTCCATTGAATAATGCTGTTTAACTGACATTTTGATTGATGAGACAAAAGCCAGGGATTCGCCTACCTTCTGACAGCTAATACAGCCACTGAACACATCTGTTGAGCTGACATTCCAACAACTAATTAATGTCTTAAAGAACGAATAAACTTTGTGTTTTTGTACACTTTTAACCATTACATATGGTTCGTCTTCAGCGGAACACCAAATTCATTCTTAAAAAACTTGTGGTTAATTAATACCGAGCGATTAAAGTTGCCAAAAAGCCATCTGCTTCACTTTCGCCCGCCAACGAAACCAGAGAGGTTACGTAACTCTGTCGCCAGAGCACTGCAGCAAACCGGAAGTGACGTTATGTGAGAAAGGATTTTCAGTCAGTTGTATATAAAATGTGTAATAAGCTCGTCATTTTGCGGATTTCTTGACGTTTTCATTGTGTGAAAAAAATTAAACCTACTTACCAGTTGTAGTAAAATATGTATGTGATTGATGACCAAAAGGATTTTGCATGACACAACTTGTAATATAACGATTTCATACCCGGAAGCGAGGTTGTGGTCGAAGTGACAATAATATTGTAAGTAGTATTATATTGATACCCACCTCGCTTCCAAGGGAGAAATTGTTCTGTAATATATGTCATGCAAAATCCTATTAGCTATTAATCAAATACATATTTCACTACCAGTACAAAGTAGTTTTGATTTTGTAGCTCGGTGAAAACAAACCTAAATAGCATTTATTCTCAGACTGTCGGATGTTCGTGACAGGACGCCACCATTTTTAAAAATCGTATGTCACGGGCAAAAGTCTGTTCAAGAATAAATGAGATTATGGTTTGCTTTCATCAAGTCAGAAAATCAAAACTACTTTCTACTCATAGTTAAATATGTGGTATTTCAATCATGACCAAAAGGATTTTGCATGACACAACTTATAACATAACGATTTCTTCCACTGTAGCGAGGTGGGGGTCGAAGTGACAATATTGTGCGAAAAATTTCTTGCTACATTCACGTGGTTAACGTCCACTCACCACTATGTAGATACTAGTTGATCGTGATGAGCGAGACTGATCATCGTTTTCACTATCACTAGCGTCTAGCTCGAACAAATAAGGCCTAGCGATTGTTTCTTCATTGAAGATTGAATGGAAAGATTGTCGCTGTCTGAATTAATTCCGGACATGTTAGAGTCTGCTTTGTGCCGAAATGCCAACCCACTGAATTAACCATATTGAAATCACTTGACATAAATGGTTTAACACACGAGTAAATTGGGGCACAAAAGCCAGACCTAGCCAACAGGTAACCGTTATGACAACAAGCGATTTTGATAGAATCGCCTATGAAGACAAATTGTAACTTCGAAAGCTAGGCAAAGCAGGTGACAAGATTAAATGACAGTAGATTGCGAAAACATAAAGCTTTCTTCTTTTTTTACAACAATTGTCACGATTTCAGGTTTAGACAAACCTGTAAACAAGATAATTTACCCCCAGAAATGCACATGAATTCTACAGTGCCCCTCATATCAATACGTCACATTACGTCACGGAGACGCCCCTCTGATTGGTTGAAATTTCGTTTGCGGGAAAGAATTGTGCAGTGTTGTCAAAAAGGTCAATGTAAGTTAATTAAGGGTCGAAAGGAGTAGTTTTAATGACAGGGTTTGATTTATAACAATGCCATTAATGATTTATGCATTTGTACCCCTCTAGAGTATATGTGATCTTTAAGATATTAAAGCAGAATATTTGGTTGATATATTTATACATTCTTGTTTGAGTTTTTGAATTCTATATTTACTTTCTTCCTGAACTGTTTGGCAAACATTTCAGTTTAGAAGTGTTATTTATTCAGAAGGAAAATATTTCAACTTGGACGGTATTGGATAAGAGGCGAGGAGAAAGTGTCAGCTTGCTACCTATGCACATTAGCCTGGGTTCTTGTCAAAAGAGGTCAGTGATGATTGGCCTTCAGCAGCCCATGCTTGTCATAAGAGGCAGCTAACGGGATCAGGTGGTCAGGCTCACTGACTTGGTGTTACCATGTCTTAATTGAATAGAATGATGCTCATAATGTCTTTCACTTGTTTGTTGGGTCCAGACTCGATTATTGATAGGTCGCCATCATGTAGCTGAGTTTATTTTGCTGCAAAAGTTTGTGATATTTGTTCAATGTTTACTTTTAGAGCCATAACAGAGTGGGTTAGTCAAGAGAATCGAGGCGAGAGGATGGGTCCATTTGAGACAGCCAAGATGGAAGACACAACTTTCCTTGACCTTGACCTTGTGCTGGGTAAACCCTACTTCTATCAGCATCAGGGTGACTGTGAACACATACTTATCTTCACCGACGTCCGGTAAGTCTCCTTTCTCCATTGAAGCCCTCAAAATACATCACTATACAATACATCATCACACATGTCCATTTCCATTTTCCGGAATATATTTCAGTTTTATCTTTATCCTGAGGTATATCAGGTCGTTAAATAGAAGCAGAACTAGAACTTCTGCCAGACCTTAATCTTAATTGAGACATCTCATAAAATACAAAAGCTAGAAAATGTAGACACAAAATGGCATATTCATGGCATATATGAATATATACTCCTCACACAAAAAATTAAGCAACAAGTATTTTCAGTGTAATATCTTTATCAATCTCAATAGCGATTTTTGCTGCCATGTTACTAAAAGGTAAATATTCGAAGAATACATAACCTTTAGTGACTGTCAAATTGATTTATCTGATAATATTGACAACATCACCCGAACACAACCACCCTCAGAAACAACATGCAAAATGTGTGGGATGAATGTGCTCCACTCGTCACACATGCACCCTGATCGGTGTAAACCTGCCTGTAATCATTCCTGTGGTACAACAAGCGGGTCCTAACTGCATTTTTTATGGATGATAATGCCCGTCCATGAATGATAATGCACGAGAAAGAGTTGTTAACGATGTTGTTTAGATCAACAACATCACACATATGGACTGGCCTGCAAGGTCACCTAATCTTAATCCCATTGAACATGCTTGGGACATTATTGGACATTTACGGGGTCCATGTTCACCCCCAGACTCTGGATGACCTTGAGCAACTTTAAAGATTCATTTGGTCGATGCAAAGGCGTGTAGAAGCTTGCATTTGTGCTCATGGTGGTCATACGCGTTACTGACCACTGCTCCACTGTCCAAAACTGACTTGAACCTTAATTTTAACATTTTGCTCCATCAGTGGAGCACATTTTGCACGACTGTTTCACGGGTACATGCTTTTGTAAGTGTATTATTGCTCAATACCATTTCATTTCATTTTGTTAATCGTGTGTACATGTTTCACCTTTCTATTGCATCATTCCATGATATGCAATTTCAATAAATGAAAATGTAATGAGACTAAAACTTTGTGTTGCCTAACTTTTGTGAGGAGTATGTATATTGAAAAATGTTTGTCATCATTTTACCTGTCAATCAAGTAAGTTGGTGACGGATTTAAACTTTTGATAATTCCTACTTAATATTTCAAGAATTGCGTTCAAGCACATTTTATGACAGAGGCAACATAGCTGATTGCCTAAAATATGCCAAACATTTCTGAGGTCTAGTCCTAATCCAAAGGTGCATTATACCAAAGGGTGTTTCTAGTCCGCTGCTTTGCATTAGGGGATACAAAAGTACTGATTGTTGGTATACAGTTTGTGAGTGGCATACGGTATGTATGTTAAACTATTGTCTAGGATTTAGTACCGGTATTACAAGCATGTGCATCACAGTGTAAGTGCAATAATCTGTACACAATATCAGACCCCATTCCATCTCATATGACTCCACTTCACTTCTCATGCCTATCTCTGTGCATCCTCAATAGTCTCCAGGGTGTACGCTCCGATAAATCTCCACTATACCCTGGATGCATTTTATTACCTCCCTTGGTTGGCTTTTTATCCAATCAGGTGTCTACGCTGGGAAGTTGAGCGTACTAATCACAACTCACTTTCGCTTTTTAAATTATCTAACCGATTAAACTTGGCAACACAATAATATACTGTTGCAGAGGTACTCTGAAAGAGGTAGAAGGAGTTCTTGCATATATTTTTTAAAGATTTCAGACCTGTCAATTTGTCTGTATATTTTCCCCCCAAATCTGAGTTGCACTGCGAACAAACTTTCGCGGCTGCGACCGCTATCTTTGTTGACACTGGCAAGCTCGGTTGTAACGGCGGCTTATCTGATTGGCTACTGTGAGAATGCGGAGCCATCAAAGGGAGGTAATGAAATCATCGGCTTGAGCAGTAGATGCATCCAGGATATAGTGGAGATTTATCGGAACGTATACCCTGGAGATTATCGAGGATGTTCTCTGTGTGATGTGTTACATGAGACACCCCATGTTGCAGCATGTTCCACCCCATGGATCCCCAGGACCTGCGGTCTTACCCATATATCTGCCGCGAAATGAACCACAAACGCAAGATATGTAAATCCTGCATGATAAACACTGCTGGGTAAGTGTTAGCTCAAGTTAGCTTGGTAAATAGTAGCTGTCAATTTTCAGCGTCATAATTACCAGATTGTTATATGTTTTATACAAATTGTTTTGTTCTTGTTTGCATTTGGGGGCAGTGGGGTAGCCTAGTGGTTAAAGCGTTGGCTCGTCACGCCCGAAGACCCGGGTTTGAATCCCCACATGGGTACAATGTGTGAAGCCCATTTCAGGTGTCCCCCGCCGTGATGTTGCTGAAATATTGCTAAAAGCGGCGTAAAACTAAACTCAGTCAGTCAGTCAGTCAGTTGTTTGCATTTGAACACAATTGAATAATTTTTAAATAACCCATGACCAATGGAGCTGTTTCAGGTTAAATGTATATTTTGACAGACCTATGTTGATGATTGAAAGCAGGCATCACATGAACAGCTCAAAGGTGCTATGACTCATATATTTTATCTTAGAAATGGGTATTGCTGTTGACCCTTTGATGATGTGACCCACTTGGACAGGCACATGATCACATGCAAATTATGTCACCTGGCACATACAGAGTCTATCAGTATGCATTGGTTTATCAATACTGGATCCAATGTTGTAGAAGTATATTTTATGCCCCAAATAACTATCAATACCCAAACTCAATGCTAAGATGTGTCGACAACAGTTAAAATACGTAGCTTGAACCACAATATGTGCAGATTACACCAAAGTCTTGCAAATTCCACTTTGTATCCAAAATGTTTTGTATCACCTGATATCTGTGATAGGATGTATGTACCACCTTGTAACTGTGATTTAAGCCATGTGTCACACTTGCAGGTGGATCATCTACGACTGCCAATTACTTCCCAGCAATCCAGCTTTCATGTGCCACAGGTGTTTCAAGGCTCTGCTCTATGATGAAGATGGCAAGAAGATTGGCAACTTTGAAGCTTACATGAGTTCGGAACACCCCACATAAACATGTTTCATCATGCGTGTCGGCCATCTGTGATATGACAACGTTCAGAATGGAGGACAGATCCTGAGACTTGGTCTGGATGTGTTGCCAGTAAGAAGCAATATGGACACTGGTATCACCAGAATATGATCCGAAAAGTGTCATATTTACACCTCATTTCATGAACAATCCTCAGGAATATTTGGTTTGGATTAAGACAATTCCCTGATGAAAAAAGCATCAATAGATTTGTCAATGCCTGGCATATTCTCACCGTTATCATAGCGAAGTTGGAAGAATATTTGTAGACAGTATTCACAATCACTCATGGATGAAGACAATACTAACTGCTTTCAGTTGTGAATCTGTTTGGTTAAGTCATTAAACAATTTACCTGTTGTATTTTGATTCTGTGGTTCAGAAAAAAAATACCAAAGACTATTTCTAAATATTGATTTTGTGTTTTCTATATAAAAGTGTAAAATCAAATGTCAAAGGACTGGTATGAGAGAATACCTTCTGAGACACCTTTCCTTGAAGCAGAGACCATATAATAGGGCCGTCCCTCTATTATATGGTCTCTGCTTGAAGGCAGGGTACATTCCAGATGCTTGTGACATGTATGTCTTTATGTTCACCGACAGTGGACTGGACTGGAGTGACAGAAAAGTAGTTGGTTGAAATGAGGAAGAGATGAGGTGAAATTGGGTTTAACGTCGTGCTTGAGAATATTTTACTCATATGACGACGTGCATGTGTGTGTATGTGTATGTGCGGCTGCTTGTACTAGCCCAGACTTAAGCTGGTTTTATAGTGCTAGCCCACTGAGATACCACGCCACAGTGAAGCATGAATACCCCACTCAGACACTTTATACTGACTCCCGAGCCGACCAGTCCTTGTTGTACCCATTAATGCCGAGCGCCAGCCAGGGACCAACTAGTACCACATTTTAACGTCTTTTGGAAAGACGTGGTCGGGGATCGAACCCGCGACCTTTCGCTCTCCGGGCGAACGCTCTAACCACTACACCACGGAGGCGGTCGAAATGAGGAAGAATGATACTAGAATTGAGTCCTCTTTAATGCATGACAGTCCCAGGCATTTGACATCACATAGTAATAACTGTTGATAAAAACTGAAAGTACTTTAGGCACTCGCTGTGTGCAATTGAACTGTCAGCCAGCATGCCTGCCTCATCAGCTTCCGACCAAGGCAAATCATGACAATGAGCTTCATTTTTCTTGAATTCTCTTTGGACATTACTGTTAACTGTAACATTGTAAATAAAACTACATCTATATTTGTGAAGTGTTATTCATTGGGAGATGACTTGTACTGGTGTAAGAGCTGGATATTTTGCCCCAGTCTCTTGCACAAGTAACCCAATATCCTGCCTTTTACCAATTATACAATAGGGTTTGGGGGCTCAAGGCACTGGTGCCATGGGTTCCATAATAACAGTTTTTCAGCCAATCCCCAGGATCTTCTTTCTGCCTGCAGTTAAGGTGACGAGCCCTAGGGTTTGGCTGAAAAACTGTTATTATGAACCCATGGTACCAGTGCCTTGAGCCACCAAACCCTATTATGTACACAGGCACAGATAAGCTGCGGTTCTGTGTAAATTACGCAAATATTTATGTGAAAACTCAATTCTTATCAAGTGTGTTGCGTACAAGTACGCTTTATTTTTTGTAAATACAAAATGTCAAATCTCAGCTTGTGTACCCGTGTATAGATAAAATAACAGGTATATTGAGAGGTTCTATTTCAACACATGAACTAGGCAACACATGAACTAGGCAACTTGCAGTCTTTCTTATTGTTTCTCATATTACAGATCCAATATAAATAACATTTAAACTTTATTATATTTTTACAATTAATGGAAAGGACAAAATACCCAATTGGGATCACCCGTGAAGGTCCGTTTTAGAATATTGATCTTCAGTAACCCAGGATTGTCATAAGAGGTTACTAACGGGATCGGGTGGTCAGGCTCGCCGACTTGGTTGACATGTGATCCGTTCCCAATTGCACAGATCGATACTCATGTTGTTGATCACTGGATTGTCTGGTCCAGACTCGATTATTTAGACCGCCGCCATATAGCTGGAATATTGCTGAGTGCGGCGTAAAACTAAACTCACTCACTCAGTGAGATGGGTACAATTTATTTGGTTACTCAAAGGAAAATTAGGATATCCAATTGAGATGAGCACAAGTGAGTACATAACTCAATGACCAAAAAAATTATCTGTAGCCAGTCCTGTATTTGAGAGTTCCTGGGACTCAATGCTTATAATTTTCAGGGTTCCTGGACAACAAAATGGGGGTCCCAGACACTTAAATATTATTATTAATACTGTTATTGTATTGTGTATCATGATCAACACATTAATTGTTACGTTAATGAAATTGCAAATGATACAATAACCCAGCTAGTAGCAAACTCAGTGATAACTTATTGTTACTTGATTGGAATTTTTACAAAAGTATTTGGACTTATCTCCGTCCTTGTGTATGCTCTAATAAATTTTGTCGCGTCCATTATCAACCAGTCCTCTATCAATCATATCCAGCCTTAAGTTTTCTAAACTCGTTCGTTTGTTTTTAGAAACAAGAATACCAAGCCACCTCCTGTCACCGACAGTCAATTTTCTGGGCCTACCTGCGCCTCCCTGGTGCTCAATGGCATATCCATTTGCAATATTTTTCAAAACACGATAAACAGTGGACAAAGGGATGCCTGTTCTACTTGAAATCACTTTAGCTGATCTGATGTCCTTGTTATAATACTCTAAAATCAACTTCCTCTTCTCTAAATCATCCATACAGAGGATCACTGAAAATGTCGTCTGCTAGCAAGTAAACAAAGGGGGATAACTCTTCACAAATTAATGGAAAAGGATTAGCGGAGTTGTCTCTCTTGAATGAAACCAAGCACTTGATAGTTGGTCAAGGTCGTTTATACTAGAAATCCAATTAAACATATTCCTAAAATTCTAAATAATTTCTGGTCATACTATAATTAGTCAAGGGCAGGGTATTGGGTTACTAGTGCATGGTACTGGGGCAAAATATTCAACCTTACACTGGTATGTACCATGGGATTACTTACACCATATTGGCAGATGTAGGTTATGATTCACTAGATTCTAGACCCCCAGCAACCATAGCTTGTCATCAGGTGGCTCCATTCATGGGTGCTCATTAACTACTAGATGAGTGTTTTGGACTAAATTATTTACAGCGTTATATAGAATATTGCTCAGTGCAGCACGAAGCAACAAAGATGCTATCCAGTAAATCAAGCAAAGGCCTTGTTCCAGCCTGTGCTCAGACCAACTAGAGGTCAGCTTACATCTACACTTGTTTCTCATTCTGCTCTACACATTCTGCAGTACAGGGTCCAGATCCACAAAGCAGTAGTAACTCGTGGTGCTACGAACCATTGGTGGATCACGTCCCTGGGCGGCAACAGTTAAGTGATTAAATTGACCTTAATTTATACTACCCATGAAGGTCCGGGTTAGAATATTGATCTTCAGTAACCCATGCTTGTCGTAAGAGCCAACTAACGGGTCGGGTGGTCAGGCTCGCTGACTTGGTTGACACGTCATCGGTTCCCAATTGCGCAGATCGATGCTCATGCTGTTGATCACTGGATTGTCTGGTCCAGACTCGATTATTTACAGACCGTTGCCATATAGTTGGATTATTGCTGAGTGCAGCGTAAAACTAAACTCACTCACTTACCTTGATTCATAAATGGACAAAGTAACATTAGGAAACATGTCCAGATAGTGGATATACAGACCCGTGAATTACTGACAATGACCTCACACCAATCTTGGCACAGCAGCATGGTTGGTATTTTAACCTGTACTAATCTGTTGTTGAAATATTCATGTAACACAGGAGGATGTTTGATCAGATTATTTATTTACATTTTTCATTCATTCACCCTTCACACAAATGTCCAAATGACACTGAAGACAAAAAAAGAAGATTACAATATGGTATTATTTTAAAATAATTTTGTTATAAATAAAATTCATGGTTATTTGTTTCAAGAAGGAAATATCACTTACCAAATGATGTGCTGAGGGCAGGTGTGCCATAGTTGTGAAGATTAGGTGTTGACATCTTATACCCTGAGAACACAGACTACAATAACCCAGAGACAATATGGGGAAAGAAGAATAGCATACTTTCACTTGACCTCCGACATATATTCATAATACTAGTACATCCAATATTAATAACAAATATACCCAAATTGGGTTTCATCCACTCCTAAAGTATTGCATTCAGCAGATGACAATTTATAGCCAACCTGTATTGCTTGTGTGCTTGTATCCCATAAGGTGAACTAACCCAAGTAGTGATAAGGATTGTCTTGCCAGATAAACTACTAATACTCAATCTTTAAGGTTGAAAACTAGGACCATCTCTGGAGCAGGATTGCACAGTTATATACCAGGTAAATGAAGAGTAGTTACACCTGATGATAAAGCACAGCCAAAATACACTTTCACATTATCTTTCAGATTAAAATTGTTTGACACATCATACACCATGGACACGTATGAGCCCTTAATTTACATTTTCTCGTGAAAGTATTTGTAAAGATGGACAAGGTGATAAACATTATAGCAATACTTCTGTTTTATATGTTCAACCAACAGGGATATATACCATTCAAAACAAGTAGCGGATTTTCCATTTTGTGAGCATAGCACTAGCCAGTGCCAATGCATATGAGAACAAGTAATATATATCCATACAGATGAAATATTTCAAAAGGAATGGAATATATTGTCACATTTTCCCTTAACTTGTTTCCTCCTTGGCTTCTTCATTTGCATTTTATCAATCTTGTAAATCTAATATCCCCTACTTTTTTTTAATGGTATATCTTGGCTAAAAGTTACTTCTGTGGCCATCAAGCTGCTTTGTTGTCCTGACACCGCAGTCTCTGCTAAACGTTTGGTCTGATTGCCTGAACATACCTTGTCATTCAGTAGATCTTTGTGTTGTCATAGATACAGTTATTAGCACTTTACCACCCTGCACCACACTTGGCATGTGTTGGCCTTCAGACTAGTGGCTAAAGTCCGTTGACTAATCTAACATGCATTCACTTCATATATTCCATACTGATGTTCAGTTAATCATATCCATGAATTGTTTCTTACAAAGTAGACAGTCACAAAACATGATAATGAATTTGGGCAAATATTACAGTTAACAAGAGTACCAGCAACACAGCATTGATTACTAAGGCTGCGGTTTTGTTGGACAGTCTTCTTGCACTTATTAAATGAGATCATCACCACCCGTTTCTTATTATCTCTTTGACCGTAACAATTAGTTACCTCCTTTTGTTATTCAGCATATTACAGAACAGCAGATATGCCTTAGAAAAGTATGTAGGAACTTATAGTTGATGAAAGTTTGAAAGCAATCATGTTTGAGTCACACCTAAGTATGCATCTGTGAAAGACAAATTTAATGTGGAATCATAATTGAGTAATGCATTCCTTTTGAAAATGATTTCATCCAAAATATCGCCATAAATCTCTAGTCAAAGGAAAGAGACAGTCTGGAAGCAAAGTAGATTTCTTCCCCCCAAAGTCTGTTACATAAAGCACTTGTGTCTTGTGGTCTTGTTCAGTTTAAACCAGTCCTTTCAAATCTGTCATCAAGAGGTCACCATCTAGCATGATCTAGGCTGTAGTCCAGAAAAGTGTGTGCCTTGTATTCATCATATACTGATGACGGTCACATCAAATTTTTCCCCAACTGGTTTCAAGTAAATTTAAAAAGAGTAATAATGAAATGCTTTGTATTAATCATTTCTTAAATAAGCATGCAATATCTGTACACATTGACACACAACTATTAGTATTTGCTATTGAACACAGAATATTCTACACCTATACCCAAGAATCCTAGTCAATGATAATGCAGTCGTCTACATCCATTGCCTCCTCCTTACTAGCACTTATCACGTTTTTCTTGGCAACAACATTGTTCATGGTGGGGACTGCTGTCACAGACGGTGTTGGGGCAATCCCCTTCAAAGACATAGTCTCAGTGTCCTCTTTCAGGGTTGTCTCCCTTGATACTGTCTGTTTGGGGGTGGTCTCCCTTGATACTGTCTGTTTGGGGGTGGTCTCCCTTGATACTGTCTGTTTAGGGGTGGTCTCCCTTGATATTTTCTGTTTGGGGGTGGTCTCCCTTGACATTTTCTGTTTGGGAGTGGTTTCCCTTGTCTCCTTTGATATTTTCCGTTTGGGGGTTGTCTCCTTTGAGAGTATCTGTTTGGGGCTTGTATTAACATCAGCACTGGAGGACTTTGGTGACAAGAGCATATTTTTAACAACATTTGGAGGAACAGTCCGTGCACCATTTTGAGGTTTCTTGGCGAAATCCATAATTGACCGTTGGTCTTTTGGCAGTGTTTTATATGGACCAAGGACTTCTTCACCTGCTGATAGATCAAGGTCAGTGACTGGGTATCTCTCAGCACTTGGCATGGGAACTGGACTAGCAGGCTTCAGCTGTACTCTTCGAATCTTGGGTTTGGGGAGTTCACTAGGTTGCATTTTCTTTGCAAACTGCATAATTGAGGGTTGGTCTTTTGGAAGGGGTTTAGCTTCAGCATCTTCCGCAGCTGGCTCTTCCTTCATGATGACTGAAACTGAATCTGTGAAGGATTCAGACAAGTTATTGGGAGTTTTCCTCCCTGCAGCCTCCTCGTTCTTCACCTTGATCAAGCCCTTGGACACATACTGCCAGGTATTGGGCAGCACCAGTTCCTCCATCTTGTACTGTTTCAGAACCTCTTCTTTCACATACCAGCACACTTTCTTAAAATTTGGTCTCCTTTCCCGCACAGCAATAGACATAATTTTCATCTCCAGCTGCCGTTTTGACATCCCCCAACCGTCGGGTGTGTCCTTGCTGCCGTCCCCCTCAACTCCACCAGAACTAACGTCCACAGCACTCACTTGAGCGTTCTTTTCGTCCGTACAAGAGCTCTCTAACACTGAGGCGTTCTTGTCGGTCACACTTTCATCAACATCCATATTGTCATCGCCTGCCTCACCCAGACTGCCGGAAGTCTTTTTCTTCCAGTACAATCGGGAATTCCTTGATCAGCTTCTTGATCCCAATCAGGTTGCCATGCAACAGCCGTATTAGATCAGGCATGGCTGAAAATGAGAAATTGGAAGTAATTAACACACATTCCCTCTAAAGTACAAAATTATTTGAGAGGAAGTACTAAGATAGTGATTGAATTGATTGATCGTAGAATATAATTTTATTTAAGTAGAATTTAATTGAAAACAGAACAAACGGGAAGTGTCAATTTAGTGCCCTAGGTAACATTCTAGACAAGCAACAGAACTTTACACTTTATGTGCACAGTCAGCACGGAACCTACACCTTGACACAATGAATCAACATTTATGCCACACAGCTATTTTACAGCCTCTTGAAAGTTTAAGAAAGACCATAAACAAAGGGGTGTCACTTCTTAAGCTAACATTTAAATGAACTGTGGGCAAAATATGCAGTATGTCAAGAGAGCATGTGAAATCTCCAAATAATCAGCATCGTCATATCAACCATTTTATTTGAGTCAGATAAAAAGTGCTCACCTTCCTCTGGCACTGGTTTCCTGTTTCCCTTTCCAAACGATGTCCGGTCTCCATCCTTCCCACCACCTGTGCTGTCCGCTGGCCGAGATCTCGTGTCAATTGGCACCATAGACAAACACACAGCCTGAAAGCACCTTTGTATTAGTCTATTGCTACTCAAGACATTACAACTCTCAGTGAGCGAGTGAGTTAATATATAACATCACATCGGCAATATCTCAGCCATCTCGTGACAAAAACAATTTATACAATAAAAAAATGAAAACATGAAAACATTTTGAAGAGTAAAACCTGTATGAATATACAACTAGACAAAACTTGGACAGTAAAATACTAGAGCATCACATGGTATGAATATATAACTAGCATGTAAAACTTGCAACTCTTAGTTACGGGAAATTATACTTAAATTAATATTAAGATTCAAACTTCAAATACATGCAGTTTCTATCAACTTTTGTTTCAAGTTTATCAGGTCATATCTTTAGCCATATTAATCAGTCCACTCCAGAGTCTTTGTCTATTCTCAAATATGTTTTGGAAACTTTCTCACATGAAAATGTATCAGGTTTCAACGTATTTCATGTATTTGGAGAGTACCTGAATGCTACATCTAATTAAGCAAACAAGTATATGATTGTCTCCGTGAAGATTTTGGTCACCTGAAACTGGGCCAGTTTGGCAGCCAAGTTAGCTGCAATAGCTTCCCCTTCCCAGGCCAAGCCGATGACGACAGCTCGGACTGGCTGCTTCTGTCTCTTCTGTTCTGCCTCCCAAGCTTCCTGCTTCGCCATTTGGCGAGCCTTCAGCACATCTGGGGTGATCTATCAACACAACACAAATGTAAACTGGAAAATCTTGTTATGTTGCAGTCCTTTAGCTTCTTGCGATAATTAAATGACCTTTAGGACAAACTTCCATGTCCCTATCTTTATGGCATCTTGCTCACTACAATATATTCACATGTCAAGCTCTGCCACAGCATTTGTGAACCTGTTAAAGGTGACCTATGTTACAAATCAATATAAAATTGGCTTCAGAAAAATTTGAGCTTGCATGATGACTTAACAGAAAGCTGAAACTATTTTTGCCTATGTCATATTTCTAATTATGTCAATTATTGAAGGGTTGAAAGTTACCTCCTCGTCCTGCTCACATCCCTCGTCTTCAGACAGGTAGCCATGAGGGACCATCCACCCGTCCTCCTCTTCTTCCTCATCCTCGTCCTTGTCCTCCTTCTCATCGCCCTCATCCTGAGAACATGTTAACATAGTGGTCTCAGACACTGAGGAGTAAATGTGACAGGGAATTTATAACTGACAGACGCAATGTTCAAGTAATTATGTCACTTGAATATGTTACGCTGTCAATCTTCAGTGCAGGGGTGGAAATAACTTTAAAATTGCTAGTGTACTCCGGTACAGTGGCACATGTAAAATCACTTGCCCTGATAATTTTTCTACTATACTGGCCGATTTTCTTGTTGATTTTTTAAATAAACAACATAATTAACATTGGAAAGTCAACTGGACACCGGTACAATGTGATATACAAATTTGCTTGCCCGACAGAAATATAACACTGGACTGGGGCGTCGGGCAATGGGTTATTTCCACCTCTGCAGTGGAATCTGCTTTGTGAGACTTAACATTGATCAAGATGACGCACCCTTGTGAGGAACACCTGTGTGAGATGCCACACCTGTGCAAGACACCACATACTTGTAAGACAACACATCTGTGCATGGGATGATACACCCTTGAGACGACGCGTCCCTGCATGAGAACATGTGCCCGTGTGTGACAACCCACCCGTATGAAACCATAGTGTAAAACGACAGACCTTGAGTGAGATGACATGCTCTTGAGAGAGATGACAAACACCCATGTGAGATGACACAGCTCAGTGTGAGATGACAGGTAAGCCTCACCTCACTACTGGAGACACTCTCGCCCGGTTCCTCCTCCTCCCACTCGTCATCACTGTCAACCTCGTAGTCAAACAGCTCCTGCACACAAGGATAATACAACCACTTATATAGTCAAATCGGAAACCTTCACCTTGTCTGAAAACAGTAAAACAAGCTGTTTATAGACTAAGTCCTTCTGTGGTTGTTAATGTACTGAAACACATGTTGATTATTTGTTTCGTATGTACTAAAGTGTTCTATACTGGCATCAGAATTTTATTTCCTGTCAGAAATATGTAAAACTTTAGTGAGGGGAATTCTTCCCCAATAAGATGTAAAACAGTTGCTGCAACCAACCGTGTCCTGTTTAAACGGATTCCTGGGTTTGAGCACTTGACTCATCTTGCGCCAAGTGCCATAGTAGGGAGGACGATAGTTGGTATGAAACTGCAGCAGTTTGCAGTGATGACGGACTAGATTCTTGTTTTTATCCTCCTCTACGGTGTCCAAACACTTCACACTGTCTTCATCGTCGACATCACTGGGTGCTGACACTGCCAGTCTGAGGAAACACAGATTTATGCATGACAGACAAGACAATGGTCCTTTGGTCGTTTGCTTGCTTGCTTGTTTTAATTGCTGTTAGACATATCACTAAGCACTACTGCAAATATATGATAGTGGTCTACACCAAATGTTGGTTAAAATTCCAAATGGGAAATAAATATTTCATCATTAATACACACTTAAGTTGGGATCCTAGATAAACCCTGGTACTGAATTTAGCTCATGAGCTCAGAGTACTGGAGGCCTTCCATCCTCTGGAGTCCCTAATGGTAATATGAGCAAGGTGAAAAATAACATTACAGGCTAAACATTGAACAAAAGGATCCACATTTCCCGAAGTGCCCAGTAGACATTATAGCTTCCCATTGTTTGATTCACACTTTATGGGGTAACAAGACTGAGTCCTCAAGGACCTTAACTTGGAGTATTGATCCAAGCTTTCAAAAACAAGTGGGAATAGTTGCCAGTGGACACCACAAGGGTGAGTGAGTGGGTCAGCGAGTTTTAGTTTTACGCTGCTTTTTAGCAATATCATGGCGAGGGGCACCAGAAATGGGCTTCACACATTGTGCCAATGTGAGGAATCAAACCCAGGTCTTCGGCGTGATGAGCGAACGCTTTAACCATTAGGCTGCCTCACTGCCCCCAGTTATGATTTTGAAGTACTGATGCCTTGTAATGACACAATAAAACATCATGATAAATCCTATAAAAATTTCGAGTACCACAATCTTACCGTGGAAGAGTTCGAGAACTATGCTTCTTCTGGTAGGAAGAATTTGTTATCTCCTTGATGTACAAAGGTTGATCGTTCTGAAAACAGACAGATGACAGTAGTCCATTGCTCTCAATTCATTCCATTCATTGCTAAAACATCTTCCTGATTTGACTGCCAGAAATAGCAGTGTAATACATGTGTGGTCAAACTTCATATGAAACTGAAAGCTATGAAGGTGACCAGTGTACCAACCTGTGTCTGGAGATGTTGGTCCAGCGCTGCCTTGTCGCCTTCCTCCAACTCCCGCCGAGTAGGAGGTGCCAGGAACATGTCCTTCTTCACCTCAAACGGCATGAAGAAGTGGGACTGCTCCTTCACCTGCCAACACAAGGCATGTTGACTACAACTCAACATTCCTTCCCTCAATGGCTTCTGTCAGCCTTATCACTGAACACATACTAACACCCATTGCTTACAAACACAAGGTAAAGCAGATCCATGGCGTACAACCAGGAAACAATGACCTGCACAAATATTTATACAAAAATCTTGCATACTTTATACCAGAATCGGCGAACATGCTTACCTTAGAAGGTGCCTGTGATTGTGCTTTTTTTATGAAGAAGCTAGTGAAGGATTGTTTTTCCTTCTGCTTTTTCTTATTCTGAAAAAGATCATAATTTCAATTAAGTTCGGTTAAATGTTGTAAACAGAATTCCAGGAGTGAATAAGTAGATGTCATGGCACAGTGAAGTGCAACTTGGACTGGACCACCCATGAAGGTGAAGGCCATATAACTATATCTTTACCTTTTCATCTTCTTCCCTCTGCTTTTCCTCATCCTTTTTCCTTTTCTCCTCCATCTTAGCACTGAAAATAGAGAGTTGCTGTTTTAAGGTGTGGAAAGACTTGATCCCCTTGAGATTGCGACATGAATGTGAACTCGTACATTCACAGGGGTTCAGTAGATATGGCCATTCCCCTGACTAACTTTCAATGGAGGTCAGAACAAGAAGACAAAGTCATCAATATCCCCCGCAATGGCAAAATACTCTTCATGATTATGTCTACGAGTTATGATTATGTCAAATATTTAGGTGTGTATATAGAAAAGTGGAAGGAGAGTATTGAAAGGTCTTTAAAGTTCTGCTCCAGAAAATAGCACTATCACCAATTCCAGTCAAAGTGAAAGTTGTTGCCATGGAAAAGCCAAAAATATTTTATTCAGAATTCCAAAACTACCAAAAGTCACCAGTACACCACCAGATCTATCTATGTGCCAAGTTTGGTGAAGAAATAGTGAACGGTTTTAGAGTTCTGCTCCGGAAAAGAGCACTACCACCAATTTCAGTCTAAGTCAAACATGTCGCCATGGAAATGCCAAAAATATGTTATTCAGAAATCCAAAACTACCAAAAGGCACCAGTACACCACTAGATCTATCTATGTGCCAAGTTTGGTGAAGAAATAATGAACGGTTTTAGAGTTCTGTTCCGGAAAAGAGCACTACCACCAATTTCAGTCTAAGTCAAAATTGTTGCCATGGAAACGCCAAAAATATTTTATTCAGAATTCCAAAACTACCAAAAGGCACCAGGACACCACCAGATCTATCTATGTGCCAAGTTTGGTGAAGAAATCGTGAATGGTTTTAGAGTTCTGCTCCGGAAAAGACAAAAGTGCAAGTCAAACATGGCCATGGACCAAAAATATGGACTACCAAAAGACGGAGTCCATTTTAATAACCCCTGCAAAACGCGTTGCGGGGGATAAAAAATCATATGATTTGACTGTCCATGTCCACTGACATGTTTCATATTAGATTAAATTACAGCTCACACTTATTGATCACCTAAAAGCAATTCAGGGTATCCCACTGAAAAGAAACTTTGGCTTTCATCACATGTGTTCCAAGAGCATTTCCAAAGACCAACATTTAAACAAAATGATGTAATTCTAGGTGTAATTCAAAGAAAAGAGAAAACATTCCTACTAGATGAAAGAAAACAAAAGTGTCTACATGAAAGTCTCTGGTTAACTCAAATTGAGATTAATCCCATCATTATCAACAGCTTACAGTCAGATGAAGTGACTATTTACCAGTTTTGTTACAAAAATCTCCAAATACCAGCAATCTGGATTCGTCTGGTTTATTCAACAACAGAAGATCTTTCTTCCTCCTTGCAAACCTAACCTTAAACTTGTTCTTCATGTAAACAATTGATCATTTATAGAAATATTCACAGCCTCTGGTGATTTTGAATAATAAAGGTACAAAATTGCCAGAAAAAGTGTAAAATGACAATTACTCACATTATGTTGTTTGTGAATGAAGTTGGCAACTATCACTGACATCCCATTATCTAATACCCAGTGAGAAGTTTTATTCATAGTCCACACAAGAAATCTCCTTGAGATATATCCGTATTTCCACTAGTGGTGGTCCGATTAATTGAAATAATCAAAGATTGGTCGTGGCGACTAAACGACCAAGCAATCGATCATAATATCTCATAATCGAACACAAACAATTCTGGAACACTTGTTTTCATTAACAATATTTTTCACATGGTTGGTTTTGTCTGTTACATTTCGTAAGCACTACAAGCTCGTTTCAAGTCATGATTGAATTTATCTTAAAGATTCCAAGAAATTTATGTTCCTAACATACTAGTCATCCTTTAAAGATGTGAAATTTTGCCAAAAAATCCCAGAACTACATTTTTTCCCCCTTTTTTTAAGGTGCATTAACAAATTTCATAAATGACGCTAACCAATTATTTTCAATGATTGATCGGTAGTAATGAACCAATCATCAATTATGAGATTTTAACCAATTCCCAACACTAATTTCCACCATGAGTTGAATACTGAGCCCAGTCTTACTCTATAATCTCCTGCTTCTTCTTCTTCTCTTCCTCCTTCTGCTGGAGCTTCTCCTGCTTCTCACGCTCCAACTGATCCTTCTTCTCCTGTCGCTCGCGTTCCTTCTTGTCCTGAAACAAGTCAAGATGTCAACTAAAGTACACAAAAAAGGGCTGAGGGAGAAGCTCTTACTATGGTTGAGAAGAGAGGAGCATTTCAGGAATTAAACCCCAGAAAATAGGTATGGTGTTAGTACACCTGGAGACTTGTAGGTTTCTGGCATGCTTAGGCCATATATCAAAATATTCTTGTTTCTTATTACCGCCCAACCCAAACATTCGACCCAACCCTAAGATTTTTTTGATTTTTTACACTAGAGAAAATGCAACATTGACTCTCAAAATGTGCATGAATTTTTCACACTTCCTTGTTTTGATTTCTATAGGAGAAAAGTTGTATATTTCCACAGAAATCAAGGGGTAGTGGACACAAAATAAAATACAATACAATGTACGAATAACATCCACCCAACCCATATATTTTTTTTATATTGATGAGAAACAAGAATACTGTTTAAGTGTCCTTAAGGAATGCACTGGAAACTACAAGGCCTTAGGCTGGCCATCTCGAAAAGAGGAACAGGAATCATATTGGACAAATTGTGTAGAAACTGACCTTTTCTTCTTTTTTCTTCCGTTCCTTTTCTGCCTTTTCTCCATCTCTTTTCTTCTTTGCCTCCAACTTCTCTTGTTCTTTCTTTTCCTTCTGTTGCTGTCTTTCTTGTTCTTTCTGTTCTCGTATTTTCTGTCTCTTGGCTTCCTGTTCCTGTTTCCTCTCCAGCTTCTTGATTTCAGACATCTACAAATATTTAGATTGAGGATTGGCATTCTAGGGCATCAACATCCTGCAGTTACCACTGGTTATCTTGACAAATCTTTCAACAGACTTAGACATACATAATTACTATGATCAGACTCTAAATTCATGTTCATAAGTATAAAGGTTTTAGTCATGTTATTATTTCAAACATCACACAAGCTTTCAGCTTCCTAAGCCTTGTGGTATCTGAGACTATTAAGATTCCCAAAATATGATTTCCTCTCCATTTTATTCCCAATAAAATAATGTCAAACCACAGTAACATCATGGAAAAGTCAGTTCCTGTGGAACTAGTTTAAGGCCATCCCTTCAGAAGGTTCAGCTGGAAATTGCCACTTTTCATTTCTAGCAAACATTAAATAATTAAGTTAATAGTTAATTTAAGTAGTTTCATTAGGTAAGCTTACTAGCTCCACGGAAATTAAGGATTCAGTTAATGGGTTGGGGTTGTTTTGTTGTTGTTTTGTTTTGGGGGTTTTTTGTTGTTGTTGTTTTTGGGGGTGTTGTCTTTTTGTTGTTGTTATTAGGGTTGTTTGGGGGTTTTTCTGGGGGCTTTCCAGCTTATCAAGTTGCCTCTCCCAAGCACTCATTTAAGTAATGTATATCCGGGTTAGAATTGGTGTTCAGTAACCCATTCTAATGGGATGGGGTGGTCAGGCTCACTGACTTGGTTGACACATGTCACCACATCCCAATTGCGTTAATTGATGGTCATGCTGTTGATCACTGGATTGTCTGGTCCGGACTCGATTAATTACAGACCGCCACCATATAGCTGGAATATTGCTGAGTGCACCATTAAACAACAAACCAACCAACTATTCCAAGGTTCTTCTGAATCTGTTTAGGTCAATAATTTGGTGGTACAGCAATGAAAGCAATGGTTCCTTCCCATTGGTCTATATATTCTAGGGCTGCGCAATATAACTGGTTTACCGGTTCAGACATGAAAACGATACGTATGGCGATACGCTGATCGAAACCGGTATTTTGACATGCATTCGGAAACCTCATAACACTCTGAAATCTTCGGATATTGCCTTGTTTTATTTGTGCCAAATATTACTTACATTTTTATCTTGCCAGGATTAAAAGTTTTTATTTAAGCTTAATCAAACAGTGATTTTGCTTTCTTTTATAAATCAAGCATTAACTCGATTATAAGTAGTTGTTTTTGTAAAAAAACTTTTTGCAATATATTGCAATGCATATCGCAATATATGCTTTCACATCGCAATATATCGCAATATGAAAATTCTCTGCAATACCCACCCCTAATATATTCTCAAGTCATTTCAGTCACAGGACTACTGTTTGAAATGCATATCGCATATATGCCAGGTAGAATGATAGGGGTATTCAAGCAGATGTCTGTTTGGCTGCAACAGTACAGAAACTCACAGGTACAACTGTCAGTGGTGTCTAAACATGGTAGAAATAACTGTGTCTTGTATTCACCAACTTGTGACAGGTGAAAAGTCACCGCAAGAAGTGTTTCTTATCAGAGATAAATCTGATCACCCTAACTGGCAAATCATATTAAGGCCAAACCAATTTTATTTCTTGTTTTACGGATCAGCCGGTCATATATTTTTTCAAGAATAAGAAAAAAATGTAAATTAATTTTCCCCGCTCAAAAAATAAATCCTAATGTTTTTGTTGGCCAAAAATGTAAACTTAAAAGATAATCTTTTAAAGGCTTTTTTTTGCCCCATAAACTTCATTAATTGCCAAAAGTAAAATACTTCTAGTATTTAGAAGGAATATTACTTAGACTGCTGATTTTATTTTTATTTTCTTTCCTTCCTGTCTTTAGGTTTTCTGAGGAAAAAAATCTGTAAAACAAGAAATAGAATTGGTCTGGGCTAATTCAATTTTAAAAGGTCACATGCAACGTAAAACACAACTTTGCAGATTCTGATACCTATCGGTATGGACTTACCGAAACAAAGCGTCAAAAATGCAAATTCAACTTATAAAGTTGAAAAATAACGCGATGAAAAAAAACGCGCGAAATCGGAGTTCAAACGTTTCACTAATTTTCCCCAGACTTTTCTGGGGAATACGGGTTTCAACAGCTGGGCTGCGCTCATAGCACGTGCGCAGTGAAATAGGTTCACGCAACTTGGAAGCGGGCTGTCTGGGGAATACTCGGTAAAGGCTTTGGTGTGAGTTATTTTCATAATGTTTTGTTGATATCTCACAGGCGCGAGCTTTTTATATGTTATGATAGTAAATTAACTGTTTATATGATTTTATTTGTCTATTTCACCACACGTTCTTCTTACAGAGTCACTTTCTCAGTTCGATACTTAAAAGCAATGTCATTATTTAGCGTTGACACAATTTCTAACTGTGATATAGATATGTCGTGGTCACAGACAAAACTCAATGTCTTGTTTTATTGACACCTGTGTGTCTGCCTGCCTGTCTGCTAATGACAAAATTCAATACACAACTGCGATCACTGACCACATGCAATTTGAACTTAACACCAATCAGGCTATACACCATAAACAAAACGCAATGATTTATGGCCCGAGTTCGGTCTCTGTCACATTATGTAATTACACAGACAGGCAGGTGTGATACTTGAACACATGACATGTTATGATGTCTGTTGATTGCAAAATGTTATACACAAAAAATGAGTATGTATTTACAAAACCCAACATCTCTATATATACACACACAATGAGCCGTGAAGGCGGCATCTGCTAATGAACCAGCCGTTACACTTGAGTGCACACCCACCCGCTCTGACTGGGTTCGGTATCCCGGCTGCTTCGTTTCAAGGGAGGTAAACCCAAGTACAAAATATTGCACTTTTGATTTGCGATTATACGCTTATAATTTTGTTTATTTGTTTTTTCATAATCAGCAATGTATATTATGTCATGAAGTGATAATTGTGTTTTAATTATGTTTGATTTTTTGGTTGCATGTGACCTTTAAGGATTCCATACTATGTGCAGGCATGCAAAAAGGGCACACCTCGTCATATATTTCAAACTTGGGATCTTTGTTGCAGTTCTTGGTTTTCCAGAATTAGGACATTCTAACAATATATTCAACATATTCCAAGCAAAATTTTGGACCTCTTCATTGGTCCTGTTATCAGTGAAATACAATTTACCTCTGCAAACCTATGATGTTTGTTATATTTGGAAATATGTCTGGAAATTTGAGTTGAATCTACCAGCCTCAGCAGATCTGGATGAATTAGGTGTCAACACAAATGGTCATACTGAACCTGAGATAGACATAGTCACATGCTCTTTTGTCAGTGATTAGCAAAATATAAGGGGGACCAGTTGTTTCCTCAACAAATCTATGTAACACAACCTACTATGACAACATACCCTGCAGTCTATTCAGATAAGAACAAAGGCCAAGAGCACATTTCAAAGTAGTGGTTATGTAAAACAACTAGATTTTGGAAGAAAGTACCTCTAGATTATCACAAGCATTGGACTAGTGTCTGTCTATTAAATAGGAAATCTACCAGAGACCTGCATATCACTATCAGACATACCTTAATGCTTGCAGGTCTTTCACGCAGGTTCTTGGGTGTACTTGTCTGTAGTGTGCTGCCACCTGGCGTCTTAGAAACACTGGCCTTCTGTGTTTTTGTTTTTGGTGTTTTGCAAGCGGATGTGTTGACAGTTGGGCTTTTGTCTAGGGAGGATCCAGAATTGTCTGCCAGGCTGTCGTTTATAGACACATCTCCACAACTGTTTTGTGTTCCGTTTAGTGAGGTATCATTCACCTCGTCATCCGACTCATCTGAAGAGGTGCTACTTTCCTCATCACTATCAGATTTACTACTTGACGAAGCATTTAATTCTAAACTTTTGTTTTCATCCGACTGACCACTAATGACTGATGCGTCCAGATCATTCAACTTGGCAGTATCAACTTCTGTCACCTCTTCCTTATCCTGTGAAGTGGGTGCATCTTTCTCTTCCACCATATCAACATCCACACACTTGATAGGCCCTGGTTCAGCAACAGATGTATTTTCAGCTTTATTCCCTTCACCTTTACACTCAGATTCTGAAATACTTATTTCTTTCTCAGCTTCATTCTCATCTTTTCTTGCAACGCCGTTATTTATATTCTCAGGCTGAACTCCAGCTCCATCCTCATCAACAAGTTGAGCCTGTTCATTGGACGTATCAGTGAGCTTATTCCTTGCCTTCTTGACCCCTTTAGAGCTTGTCACTTCAAGAGAGGCATTAGCATTGTCAGAGTTATCAACAATCTCCTCACTGATCTCGGTCAAATCTACCACTTCATTGGTTGAAGATATCTCTTCTTGGGACGACTTGCGAATAAATCTCTCCAGGATGTTAGTTTCGCAGGCTTTACGTTTCGGCACCCCGTGACAGGGACATTTTCCGCCTCTGAGCTGGAACTAACCTCATTGTCGTGGTCAACAATGTCAGACTGAGTCTTCTCTGGGATATCATGCTTGAGTCGGTCAGCTTGGTGTTTGCTGAAAATCTTGGGAGCTTTAGCACTGGGCGATTCCTGATCTGACAACTTGCGTTTCTTTGGCACCCCATGAGGAGCAGGGTTGACACATATTTGGGATTTGGGTCCAATTGGTTTAAATGGGAGGCGCGCTGAAACAGGTAGGAATACTGTTACTGACAGGTGAATTTGGGTTCGTCAGATTCAAGATTATTTCACTTCCAAAGTAACTTACATTTTCTTTTAATGTCTTCATGCACAACACTATGGAGTAGGTGGTATGATTCAACTTAAAGCACAGCGACTATTTTTACAGCAATTGTAGCCAAGCTTATTAGGTGAAACAGTTGCTTGACACAGGCTTCACATTATATTATTATTAGTTCGGCATGCTATCAGTGACAAGAACTAAATCTCAGCTCACCTTGCTTCAATTTCTTTGAGGATGATGGTGAATCATCATCATCAACAATGGTCACGTCCTCGGAGGATTGCACACCTGTAAATATGAGATATCATGATTACTATATGTGTTGAATTTCTTTAATCATGTTGTATCATCCTGAGGTCATCTGGCATGTCATTATACAAAACAATACACACAGATTACCTACATGAACAACAACAGGCATCAAAATGATTTCTATTAACATCGACCAGATGACATTGAGTCAAGCACATAAAACTATTGTTCACTTCATTTAAAATGTTTAAATTCTCTAAAAACTTGAACTGTGTGAGAGGCATTCACTAAAAACTTGCTGAATGTGTTCATGGTTGGGTAGTTTAGCTGCTTAGTATGTACATATTCAAACTCAAACGCCCTCTGCGGGCAATTTTGCTCAAATTGGTCAGTGCAATACAAGTCACTTCAACATATAGTTAGTGAGTGAGTTTAGTTTTACGCCGCTTTAAGCAATATGCCATCAATATCATGGCGGGGGACACCAGAAATGGGCATCACACATTATACCCATGTGGGGAATTGAACCCGGGTGTTCGACGTGACGAGCAAACGCTTTAACCACTAGGCTACCTCACCGCCGCACTTCAACAAATAATTAGCGAGTGAGTGGGTTTAGTTTTACGCTCACGATGATAAATGTACCATGAGACATGTCATCCATTATATGCAGTCAACATTTTTTCTCATTTTTCATCTGAATGTTTCATTTGGTATTACTTCCGCCCGTAACCCCCCCCCACACACACACACACACACAAACTTTAACGATGAGGAAACATTTCTTTGAGTGGAAGTTTTAGAAGTTGGATATGTCTTTCGGTATATTCAGATACCATTAAAAGAACAAAACTCATCCTTATCAGATGAGGAATTATATTCAGGTGATAATATTTGACTAGAGTGATATTTAAGGGGGGATACAGGCGGAAGTCTTTCCCAAAATATAAATAAAGGGTGTCAGCTCACTGGTTTTTGGTTGTTTAACGCCCCACTCAGCAATATTCCAGCTATATGGCTGTAAATAATTGAATCTGGACCAGACAATCCAGTGATCAACAGCATCAGCATCGATCTGCGCAATTGGGATACAATGACATGTGTCAACCATGTCAGCAAGCCTGACCACCCGATCCCATTAGTCACCTCTTTCGACAAGCATAGGTTAAAGACCAATTCTAACCCGGATCTTCACGTGTAGTGTGTGTCTGACATGAGTAGCAACTTGGAAATAATTAAGTCAGATCCAGATGAACCAGTGGTTAATAGCATGAGCAACAATTAACACACTAAGGTGCAATGACAGTCGGTCGTCTAGGTACAATCCTGTTCTTCAGTGTTCATGACAACCAACACGTTGAAGTAAAATATTATTAGGAAGGCCAAACCACATAAATAAACCTACCTTTTGGCAAAATTAGCTTGAACAATTCATGACTAATCTCACTGTATTAGAACAAACAAGGGCCACATACATCTACTGACACAAACGTGATCACGAAGGTGTATTGTGCATTGGATAAACATGACGAAGATATGGTGTGATAATATTTCAGTATACTAAACCAAGAACAGCAGATTTTATAAGTAGAATTCTCAAAGATTAGATATATTAATGGGGCAAATGTACAGGAATAATATGTTTGAATTGCCTTTAAAGATAACTCCAAGTAGTATTCGTAGCTAAAGCAAACATTTCCTCAACGTCACTCACCAAATTCCATTTCTTCCGATAATTTTGGGAGTTTATCGGATATAGTTGTACTCACCAGACAGATCAACATGTTTTTCGGCACAGTTGGCCACTTGTGCCATTTTCCTAAGTATGGTGCAAAGCCCGTTTACCTAATATCATAAATAAACAAACAGAACAGGTGACCAGTCTCACAATGTTACCACGACATGACAATGATCACACTTGGCGCGAATGTTGTGTGTTCATCCCTGGCGCCTTTCCACGGAGTATTGACAGTTTGATAAAATGATTGGCTAGTATTTTTAGGTTTATCACTACTTTTGTTTTAAGACACACCATGGTAAAATATACTATGGGGAAAATATATACCTTAAAATACACACGTTTAAAAACATTTATTCTTACATAATATTTTTCTTTTCTGCGTAATTACTCTGACCAAATACGTATTCTACTTGGTACACAACTAATCAAATGTCTTGATGAGGCAGTAACACAAGGGAGGCAACTTCTGTATGTGTAATTGGCGAATAGTCAAAAGTTCACTCCAGACCAATCTCACGAGCAGTGATCGGGTTCGAGTCTCCACTTTAAATTTATGTTCACATCGAACAAATGACTAAAACATAGTGACTGTAAGTAGCATTCATGAAACCAAACAAAAGCATTCAAACAAATATAATCTCAGGAAAAAATGAAATAGTGAGTGAAACCTGTTCTACGCGACATGTGAGCGTTATGAAGCAGTAAGTGGATAAATGGATACTGTTTACATGTTTTCTAAACAACACTATGTCTATTTATAGTAATGGCAATAGGTATGTAAATCAATTAAACGAAAGGGTACTGTCCCTGTAACCCTTGTATCACTGTTTATTGAATGCCATCAATTTATTTTAGTTTCCATTTTCCATGGCGACGTAGATATATGACTAACATTTATATATGATATGTTTGTTACACATCGGATGTAGATTCTACTGAAACTTACAGTGAGTAAATGTGTCTTTAAGACCCAGAGCGCATACAAAGCATTCATCCTCCAGACATCCACCCCAATACTGATCTCAACCCCTTCTCAGTGCCAGCAGCCTATAATTATCTCCCTTTCATCTCTTGAAAAAGTTAAATGAGGCTTCTTAATACTCAAGGATTCCATCATAGAACATGTTTATCTAGCTTCATACGCGACTATATTTCAGGGACTATATGTTAAAAAGCGTCGTATACCAAACTTGCATGAATGTATACCTATATTATAGGTTCACCTGATGAAGGGACCTGGAATGGTCTCGAAACGTCGTGAGAGAAATTAAAAAGAAGTTTAATTCATAAAAATATCTTGGACATCAATGTACAACTTCTAAATGCCACTGAAAGACATTATATTATAGGACTATGTAAGTATGACCACTCTACTGGAATAGTACGGCGTCAGGAGGGAAGCAACGACATCGTTCGAGACAGTACATGCCGAGGAAAGTACTGAAGCGTCCGGAAGTGAACAAATAACAAGAGGTTGCCAATACCTAATCAGTGTATAACGGACACTGGGAACTCATTAATAGGTTCCAACCTTCAGCTCAATTTAGATTTAATTGCAATAATCTCCAGTCTGCGGGCCGTAGGGTAGCCTAGTGGTTAAAGCGTTCGCTCGTCACGCCGAAGACCGGGTTCGATTCCTCACATGGGACCAATGTGTGAAGCCCATTTCTGGTATTCCCCGCCGTGATATTGATGGAATATTGCTAAAAGCGGCGTAATACCAAACTCACTCACTCACACTGGTTATATGCAGTTGGTTAAAGAGATGTTTTTGTTTGGTCCGTACTATTTATTAGAGTTCGATGAAATACAAGGACAGCCTGCATGGTCCTATACGAGAGTTGGTCTTCTCAGCGGGACATCTACAGCGGACATTGTAGCCCATCAATCCACATTTTATAGTCTTTATCGAAGAGGGGGAGATTGTATAAATTTGGGGAGTAAATAACGTGACTCTATTTATACATTTCAAACGCCATTGAGCCTTGGAGACCTTAGAATATTCGAAAAGGTATCAAAATCTTGGATAATTAGCCAAACCTGCACGTCCTGGGCCCCGTTTGGATTCTAGTATTCTTAGTAACTGTAGTTTCTGTGGCTAAATGCTAGTCCAAGCCTATTGATATCTTACGGATCATGTTTTAGTACTGTTTGAAACATATAAATCTGTGAACCTGAAATATATATGTACTTAATGCATCTTGTATTGGCATACATCCACAAGCCTCGCAGTAAAACGTCAGCAAATAAGAAAGGGATGTCGGGATATTACTGCTTACTGTGATGATTTCTGCGAATGTGGCTGAATGTGAGATACACCGCCTGCTCCACGACAGCCTGTCAACAATGAAACACACAGTGTGTGTTTGTGGATACACCCAACCTGTTGTAGTTACCCACACGATTAGGTGTGATCAAACACCACAACAGAAATATAAACACTGGACGGATAGTAAGAAGCCAAACAGGTCTGTCTAAGGTACAGCCTGGTTACAGGTTACAAAGGAATATCAAGCAGACAACACGAAACTACCATTCATCACAATACATTATTATTAATCTACCCAAAATAATCTTTTAATGGAATTCGCACTTCTGAATGCATGAACTGTACAAGGATATGACGAGTTTTTTACAAATCAGCGAGTATAATTCTTTTTTTGTTGATTTGAACGTCGAGACACTACATGAGAAAGTGTATCGTGAACTTTCTTGTTAGTTAAATAATTCCTCTTTGGGTATATGTTTTAGATCCCTTTGCTATTTTGGACACGATATACAATTTTGTAGTAAGAACGAGTAATTTTCCCTTTAAGTAGATTTATCAACAGAAACGGGAACGTTCTTGATATCTCTAAATTTGCTTTGATGTGTTTTTGACTGCAGTGTCTCATTATGTATTCACAACTAAAAAATTGGGTAAATTCCCTTTTCATGGGAACAATTTAATATATTAATCACACAACAATCAAACAACATTAAATTAAGTTTTCTATTTCATTTATACATTCATACATTTACAGTGTTTGAATAAAAGGTATTTTTTGTAAAAGTATTAACATCACATAATCCATATCATATCTGCTGATGGACTGAGCTGTTATTTATCTTGTGTAACAAACTAATAATTTCATTTAGTACCCATCGAACGAATCCAACAGAAGGTTTATGAAAACATACTGCTTTAAACATTAGTCGTAAGGATAGTATGATCCATATGACGTCTAAAGGATGCCCCGTCGGTGGGAGTAAATTCGCTACAAGAAATTATCACGGGTGTTTGAGTATTGTGACGCATGTGAGTCTCTCACGATTGTCAAAATGTCGTTGGCGGGACTCAAGAAACAGTTTAACAAGGCCAATCAGGTATGGTTTTAAAACAAATAACATATAGAGAGAAATGAACGAGGATCGTGAATGAGAAGGATCTGACAAGTCGTGTGTTTTGACAATCTGGTAGAGTCAAGTGGCTGTGTTTCGACAGCAGCATGTCACCCTTCAGTGATTCTGAAACCTACTCGTGCTAGTTTGCTACCGTTATGGGGTCATGTGTTATGTGTCAGAGCTTTGTTTCTTTCTGTATAATATTAGAATCGCCACCCTATATGTATAATTGTTTACTGTTTATTATGGCAGGTGGTTGACAACCTGTTCATATGATATGCAGTGGGACGCTGAAAATGTTTTTGAGATATTGGTGTATATATTGTGATCAATAAAAAACAACCCAACCCAACCCAACCCCACCTATAAGGTCCGGAATGAAAATGTCCTGTTTCCTTGTTAATTGAATATTGTCTTTTCATAATTTGTGGTGTATACTAGAGACAGTGAATTAGTCAGTGCAGTCATTACTGGATAAGCTATATGTTTTTTCAAATTTACAGAAGTCAGATAAGCACTGTTGTTCTTTGAGGGATCATAATTTGATTGGGATATATAAGCTTCCTGCCATATGAATCATAGCAATATATTGCACAGGAATTCTTGCGAAATGTGTAGAGTGACTGTGTGCCCAAATAATGGACTATCACTGGTCCTCAGTGTATGAAATAGGGCCTGTCCGACCACCCAAGACGGGCTAGATTTCTGATATACGTTCTAAATTTACAGGTAGCCAGCCTGATGGTCTGGTGAAAGTTTTAGATAGCATGTTCCGTACATCTGTGTAAATTCACCACATCTTAAAATCTATTTTTCAAATTGAGCGTTACATTTAGACTGAGTCATTTTCTTTGGATTGTCTGGTCTGGTTAAATCCATTTGGGGCTGGTACCGTTTTGAAGTTACCAGCCCTGATGTCTGGCTGGGTTTTTTGGCTTATTTCATACACTGCTTGTCCTTCATTTCTCCTGTGAAAGACATTTTCGTACAACATGTATGAGAATACTATTGTTTTAAAAGGTACTGTTCCTTATGGTGATTCAGCATGCTTTATGTTGGTCTCATAAATTGCAGTATGTCAGTGAAAAGATTGGTGGAGCCAAAGGCACAGAACTCGATGAAGAGTTTACAGAAATGGAAAGGGTAAGTATCATTTTGTCTCTTACTGATTTGTTGAGTTCATACGAAAGTTATCTAAAGACTAAAGCATGATGACTACCGTGCTGAGTGATAGCAAATAGGTATTATCAGGCTCCTGTCTTTTAGATATGGCTCACTTTTCCCACAGACCAAGACAGCTTTACTTATAGCAGAGATTAAAAGGGTATTTCAAAGGGTAACATAACTATCAGTTCTCGTAATGTTCCTTAAACATGTTAAATGACATAGATTTTCAGAATTCCTATTGAATCAGTAGTTCAGCTGTAGCAGTTATAATTAGCACAGATATTGACCTGATTACATATGTCACTTGCTGACCTGTATGTCACACTTGACAGTATATATATATATAGCTTGTTGATTGACCGGAACGTAAGACAGACTATATGAACTACCGGTATATAAATAAATGTACAGATAACCTAAATACAGTGGAAAGATAGTGAAGTTTGTTAAGGTTGTCTAATAAATATGCAGGTAAATGCTAATTGCTATCAGTATCTGGAATAGTGATGTTTTTATCAAAATGGCATTTGTACATAGATACTAATGTGTATTGTGATAGCCTGTTGACATTTGCCTTGGACTAATAAATTTGTAATGATCAACAGAACATTCTAGTGCATTGGATCAAATGTTTCAAATATTTTCTCTTTGTTTGCTATTTCTCAAATAATTCCATCATCATCTATTGATCCTGTGCGTTTTAGGTATATAATCTTAGTACTGTTTACACAAAAGTCAACAATGCTTTAGTTGTTGTTTAGGTAACTCGCCATCATGGTTTGCGTTGTAAGTCTTGCCTTAGGTTTAGTGTGGTAAAAGATGTAGTACATTATGTTTGGTGAAGATTCACAACAGGAATACAGCTTTTCAGGTTGATCATCTTTTCGATGGTTTGTAATTACTGTACATATTGTGACTTACAGTAAGGTGGATGTCCCATGTGATAAGGAAATGTAGGTCTCAGATAATTTTCGGTACGGATTCCAACTCACTAGGTTGCATAGTTACAAATGGCCGTGACCTCATATCGATGTGTGGCCATCTTGCCAGCAGGAAATGACAGGATTAACATTAACTTACCTCCCACAATCTCTAATGAAGAAGGAAGTCGTGAGAGGAAGCTCAGTAGGCATTGGTAGCCTAGTGGTTAAAGCTTTCGCTCGTCATGCCGAAGACCCGGGTTCAATTCCCATATGGGCACAATGTGTGAAGCCCATTTGTGGTGTCCCCCGCCGTGATATTGCTGGAATATTGCTAAAAGCGGCGTAAAACCATACTCACTTAAGTATGGCCATTGGGAATACTGGGTTTGACCAAATCACCAAAACAAAAACGAGATATTTCAGATATACATGTGAATCATGTTGCAAAAGCAGTGCTTATTTAAATGTTTGGGTAATGTGGACATCAGCCATCGAAGTAGTAAGACATAAGTCCTCTGTTATCTTTTAGTAACCAGAGCTCCAGATAAGATTTAGCTCATGTGGGTACTGTACCCACTGTATTCTTTGGAGTGGGTATTATGAATGTTGAGTGGGTATTTCATTTTCCGTTACCCACTGCTTTCAAATATGTGCATATTTCAGTCATTTTACTCACCTAAGTATTATGTCATTGAGTAAGTTTACTAAGCAAGTATGTTCTGCCTTATGTCATACCTAATCAAAACCAACTTAAATATAATGGAAATGATTTTATAAAAAATCACTCATCCTATACTAACAGTACAACTTGATAGCAATGATGTCTTTTTCATTACGCAAGCGATTTTTATAAATATATTCCGTACGCATTTGTTTTAAACTTTTTGCGTATCTAACATTTTAAAAGCGTAATTGGTACGCAACAATTATTTTTCATTGCGTAATTGGAAATTTTCTATGCGTATTTTACCCGGATACGCAGCTTATCTGGGCCTCTGTATAATATGTAGATCAGAATAGGGTTTTACAAGCAGTTTTAATGTTAGTATATGTCCTTGTCTGTCCTAAAGTAAGATGAAGAAAGAAGATAAGAACAAATTTAACATCATGTGCTGTTTATTTGAAGAAATACTTGAACATATTGAATTATAACTCCAGTATGAATATTTAATATGATTTGTTTAAGTGTGTGAATTTTATCATAGCCAGAGCGTGTTCTCAGTGTAGATAAATAGATATCAGAGAACCAGCTTCCAGCAAAAATACAAAAAAAGGACTGAAAGATATAAATATATTTGCCATCCCTGGTGAGTGGTGACACAATAATATATATGGATTACTAACGAAAACAGCATTCTGAACATAGTTAAGAAGCAGTGCATAAATAAAGATGTAACTGCATATTTTATATGTAAATTCAAGCTTTACACATCACAATAGTTTCTATAAGATATTTTCAATGACATGATTTTCATATCATTAATTGTTAATATTTCTTTCCATTATCCATTATTTCTAACGGTTGATTTTTATAGCCAGCCCTGAACACTGCCTCCTAAGTCAACAACTGTTGTAATTATCAATCAGTGTTTAATTGTGTCCCTATTTATATTTCTGAAAACAAATATCACAACACTTGAACAATATGAACAACTTTGTGGATTACAACTTCTGGTTGGCCTGCCATGATATTGCTGGAATATTGCTAAAAGCAGCATGAAACTAAACTCACTCACTCACTTGGGGTGGTGGGTAGCCTTGTGGATAAAGCATTCGCTCGTCACGAGAAGGCCTGGGTTCAATTCCCCACATGGGTAGATTGTGTGAAGTCTATTTCTGGTGTACCCCAGATATTGCTGGAACCATGTTGTAGTGACTTGTATTGCACTGACCAATTTAAGCAAAATGTGCCTGCCAAGGGTGCTTGAATATGTACATACTAAGCTACCCAGAAATGGACTCAAGTTTTTAGTGAATTTAAACATCTTAAATGAAGTGAACAATAGATAGTTTTATATGCTTGACTCAGTGTCACCTGGTCACAAAAAACGGTGCATATAGAAATCATTTCACTCACTGACTCACTGACTCACTGGACTCACGCATGGACCTTTGGATCTTAAAAGTAGTTCCTGGTCACAAATTGCAGTTTTTTTTAAGCCATTCAGACATTAAACTGGTTGATTTATGTGTGTTTTACAACTATCTGTCTTCCATGTAAATAGTAACCCCCTTTCTCATCTATATCAGTTCTCAGCTTGAAATGAAAGATCATTGTGCCCTCGTAAAGGAATGCTCTAAACTGAAACAAGGAAATTTGTCCTACTCAGAACAAAGTTAAAATGATGCAAGTATGTGTGCTGTATTAAAAATGTCAGGTTGACAGTAAATCAGAGTTTGAGATAGTTGTGTGAAGAATAGTGTTGCATGTGTCCTTTCTCCCGCTAGTGCTAAGTAGGAAGTAGAGATGTGGCAATCTAAGTCACCTGATTCATCAATAAGTGGGCCAGTCAAGAGTGGCATGGGCAAATCCCGCCATTAGGCTTCTAAGTGAAATGTTTGTGTAACCAGTTATGCTACTGACCCAATATTATTGATGTGACAGAGATTGTCACGTGAAACAGTTATCTTACATTAAAGGTATTCTAGCACAAATGAATAGTTATTTACTTCTGAGGCAACTCACTTTTGTGCACAACATATATATTTAGTGGCATCTTGTCTTTTGTGATGGTACTTGTATTGTGACCTGAGCTAACATGTAATGACATGTAATGACTTAAGGTAATAGGTTTTATTGAAACATTTTTGAAAATATTCATCAGTGTTTAATTTTTTTTACTTAACGCTCTTTTTTACATGCACACATGCACACACACACACACACACACACACACACACACACACACACACACACACACACACACACACACACACACACACACACACACACACACACGCACTTCATTAGTTATGTTAAAAGAAAGTACAAGGCTACTACCAATCTTTAGATCTGGTGAATTTGACATTTTTTATTTGGTCTGAATAAATGATTTCATGAACTTACAGAGTTTTTGTCAAAAGCCATTGAAGTGTAGGTAATGAGGAAATGTTTGACAACAGTTCAGTATTCTTCTTCTTGAAGCCTGTGTAGATGACTGATCTGTACACTGGTATTGTTGGGTGGACTGAGGTGCAGGTGGGTTGACTGCATGAGTGGTTCTGTTGATGGGGTGAACTGGACACAGTGTCACAGGTCACTTTCCTCGCGTCATGCTAATCAGGGCTATTTGTGGAGTTAGTGAAGTAGCAGTCTTTAGGCTAAACAAGTTGTCAGTGGGACTTTTTATTGCCATGATAACCTCTTGCATTTTGTTTCAATATCATGTCGACTTTAGTGTTGGGAATTGGTTAAAATCTCATAATTGATAATTGGTTCATTGCAACTGATCAATCATCGAAAATAATTGGTTTACGTCATTTATCAAATGTTCCTGTTATCATTGTTAATGCACATAAAAAAAATATAGAAAAAACATGTAATTTGGGTCTTTTGCAAATTGCACAAAATCCATTGGCGAATTTCGCATATTTAAAGGATGATTAGTATGTTAGGAACACAGATTTCCTGGATTCTTTAAGATAAATTCAATCATGACTTGGAACGAGCTTGTAGTGCTTATGAAATGTAAATTTAGTGACACAGACAAAACCAACCTTGTGTAAAATATTGTTGATGCAAACAAGTGTTCCAAAATTGGTTGAGTTCGATTATGAGAAAACACAATCGACTGCTTGGTCGTTTAGGCACTGCGGCCGATCTTCGATTATTTCAATTAATCGGACCACCACTAGTCGACTTGTTTTTGTCTTACTCCTATCCCTCTCCCTTGTCACACTTTTTATGGCAGGGAATGCTTGTCAGACATTTTAATATAGAAATGTCACTTAATAAAGTATTTATGAGTTGCCTGGTGACCTGTAGCAGGGGACAGGATTCTGTGCATATCAATTTGGCTAACGTGAAATATGTGGCACAATGACAACTCTGTC